ATTGCCGCCTGGTGGGGTGCAAGTGCATCACCCCATAAGACATGTTCAATGCAGCTGGTGTTGATCGTCATGGTTAGACAATCACCACTATCTGTCTAGTCCGCTGGTGCCGATCGTCAGGTTTTATAACTGCTTCATCGAATATTCAAAGGTCGACATATTTCGAGGGTTCCTCCGAATGTAGACGGCCAACAACCTGGACACGCTTGGGGTAAAATATTACACCGCTCTGTTTTCATATTCCAATAACACATGTCGCAAAACTTGCTGCCGTCTGTACAACTTGAAACATGTCTGACTAGTGGCAGAATACTCCCAGAATCGCACAAAACCTAGACCAAAGTCAACCTAGCTATAAATTGTGCAGTAAGGATACGTAGCATGCAGCAAAATTAGAAGAAAAAAACTCAAGTAAACACGGTGCGACCGCGAAGCTTTAAAAGTGTGGCCGGCTTAGATAGGTACACTAAACTGGACATGACACTGCGCTTTTCATTTTTTTGTCCCGTTTTCCTGTGAAACAATCGGGAGCGGCCTTTTTGAACACGCGTTCGGGTGGGAGTCAAATTGACCCTCGAACGTTTTTCCAGAACAGTTTCCGAACGGCGCGGCGTAGCCGCACCAAATTTTGCATACTGTAGACAGTTGAATAGCGGATCGTTCGGTATAAAAAATCTAGATGTATCTCGTAAAGTCGCTGAACTATGGCAGGTCAAAGTGAGGCCATGGTTTCAGCGAAGTCAATTTCTAGGAAATCGTTTAATCTGACGCAGCAGCGGAGTGTTAGACAAAGCCATACATCTCTAAGATGCTTTCTTAGGCAACACAAAAATTGAATGAGCAAAGTGCATTGACCTAAGGCCAGGTATGAAGGTCCGAACAGTCAAAACCAATCTGTTTTATTGCCTTAGGGCTGACTGTATGGGATAGTTTATGGTGCTCATCTCGAATTTATTGATAGCAGGAACCGCATTACACATCTTCAACGGACTTCTTAGAGGTCAGAATAGGTTATTGACCTAAAATGCCCCAGGTCAAAATTTTGTTTTTAGAAACATACTGCCTAGCAATATCTTGATCGCCTATTAAAATGCAAAACTCAGAGCAGTCTTGTATGATTTTGGTCACCATGATCTTGAAAATGTCAAACAAGGTTACTGAACTTAAATGAGTATGATATCTTTTGCTTAGAAACAGTTATCTAGATTTTGGGAGCACTTTGGACATCAACCTGAAATTCAATTTTGTTTGGCTTTATTTGATCTAAAAGTCATGATCTAGAAATCTAAAACTTTGACCCAAGTAATTTCACGTACAGGTTAACACACCCTGTAAAGTTGGTGTCTCTAGCTTTCTTAGTTTCCGAGATCTCAAGGGGGTCAAATTGATAAAATATTGATATATTGATTCGAAAATATTGAAATACCCCGCTCGAGCAAAGGGTATCTTGCCAGCCACCCGAGCGCATGTTAAATTTCATATATTTTCGATGTCTTATCTTTAATGTCGTTCATGAATTTGCGCTCCAGAGATTTGGGGGTGGAGCATATTGGACATTGGAAGAGCGGTGACCCGTCCAAAAGAATACAAATCGACACCCGTGGTCGTTGCGATACGACTGATGTGAGGAAGCGGTGGTTTTCAACGCACTGCGACTTTGCAAGCGACATTCACACTGCACGGTCATGCATACCTGCCTGGAGTTTAATTTTTAGGCGTCGTTTACTTCGTTAACGGTACCACGGTCTACATCCCGTCCTCAGCGACGAGATGCATTGACAGTTCAGGGTTATCCTGCGAGATGATCCGATCGAGGTAGAAGTTTACCTGTGATTATCCAGACCGTCTTTTCAAGACATCACAAACTGTTGGCTCACTGTAGCAGCCACAAGCGACCAGCCTTCCTCCCTTCGAAAGGAACTGTGCGATCGATGTTGAAGGCTGATGGCACTCCTCATGAAGGGAAATGACGAGAGGTGAAAGTAGTTTCGAGGTGCCAACTTAGGCCATTTTGCTCCTGCCCTGATAAATCGTGGTTACCAGCCACATATATATATATATATATATATATATATATATATATATATATATATATATATATATATATCAGGAGTGCGCCTAGTTTCCTATTTCGTTCAGGGCTTCAGCTCTCCCCCCCCCCCTACGTGGGTGAAGAAGTATGTCAACCTGGGAGACATCCCTATTTTGGGAAGACTGCATAATTATTCACCGCGCTTCTCAACTTTTCTTAAAAAGACTATGCCTCTGCTTCAAATGCAATCATTTCATTCATGTTTTGTTAGTATTTAGACAAGAGTCATTCACAGTTCCACCTTTTGGTGATTTTATTTTGGTTGCTGCAAATGTATATGATAGCCCATGTTGTCGGCAGCGGGAAGGCAATGATAGGTGAGCAGTGAGGTGCTGTAGCAAATGCCAGCAATGGGGCGGTAGGGGAGGGGGTACAGGCTCCGCTGCCATCTCCCACTTTACCAAGAGGTTTATTTTAAATAGCAAAATATTTTCTGGCATTGTGATCCGACTGTCATAAGAGTTCAATGAAAGATTGACATTTGGTTTTCTCTGAGAACAATGTTGGCAACTTGCAGATGTTAGCTGCCCTACAGGAACAGGAGAGCTCTGGAAGTGAGTTATTCCACAGTGCTCATTCATCTCCATATTTTATTTGCACTTGTGAGCATGGATTTTGTATCGATGCACATGTGATATATTTAGTTATTGCTTTTGCTGGCATTCAAGTAAAAAATTGTCCTGATGGGGCCCCTCAATACAATCACTCTAGACATTAAGCACGGGTTGTGAAGGCAGACAGCCTGTCATACACGCAACCTACTTTCGTGTTGAAAATAACTATAGTTTATGTGGTGGTGACATAATGACTGAATTGTCCATCTCTGTGCAAGATTTGGGGGAGGCCCATGGGCCTCATATCTTTCCCTCACCTAAATCTGAGTGTCAAAAAAATCTAGTCTGCCTTGTTTTGATTACAGGCAGTTTATGTATTAATTTGCTTGCCTTGTTTAAAATATATATATTAGTAGCACTGTGGTCATGGTCCGTAAATCAAGCCCAGGAAAGATAAATTTGGTGCCATAGCTTTTCTCTCATACCTATTTTGTGATCTTCCCTTTAGCGTCATCGTACGTGTGTGGGGGGGGGGGGGGGGGGCAGCACTGAGAGACACAACTCAGCATGTGAGTTGGGCAAGGCCCCCGAAATGAATCTAAATCGACACCCCAGCGTTATGAATAACGCGTATCATATGTAAGCTTAGATTTGCAAGCTATTCGGCGTGCAAAGGGCAATTTTAGCTTGTTTATTTTATTTCCATCGATGTATGGATGTTGGTGACGAAATGTGTCATTCTGGTGTATCAGCTGATTTCTGTCCGTATATGAAAGACCAGTTTTTCACCAGAAAATATGAGATAAATAAAAGGGATGGTGCCATCAGTTTTAACCCTTACCAGGGTTCGCTGTTTTTCACAACGCAGACTGATGAAGGGGCGGGGGAGAGCGACCTCCTGCCGTTCGCAAAATTAGGAAATGTGGAGTCTCATGGAAAACGCAGTTAATTGTCATTAACAGATCACATGACTGGTAATGAGTCTCATGTTGATAATTGACCTATCTGGATCAGGTCTTAGGTCGAATTTTCCAACAAATCAACAGTTTCAGCTTTGCATGCTCATAGGCACGAAACTGTGTTGTGTAGAGGCATGGAGCATAAGGAAGCGCATTCCTTGTTTAATTATCTCTACAATAGTCTGTAGTTAGAGCTTCCTTAATGCAACAGTGTCAGCGCTCCTCGCGCGGTCCGCGGAATCGTCGATTGCTTCCGCCTGCACCCCCCACTCCCCCGCCCCGTCGGCCGTGGGTCGTCTGGCAGCGCTCACAAAAGGCCGCTGCTTCTCAAGAACCAGAAACGCTAGGAACACGTTTTTGGTCTCAACACACGCGTTTGGGATGCTTCAAAAACCGCAAAAAAATGTGAGCGCGACTGTGCAAAATGCAGGGCTGGCAGTCACAGAAAACCAAAAGGGGTGGGGCGTTGCACCCCCCCCCCCCCCCCCCTCCCCTCCTGTCAGAGTGAGTATGTTGTACAGAAATAACTAGGCAGCCTGATGCGAAGCTCTTGAAATTTCCAAACAATTCACTTGCTGGGGCACGGAAAAAGACGCCCACCAAGCAACACATGTCGCGCCAGTCTTGGAGCATACCTAAGAGGTGGTGGAGAGGTTAATGTCGGTTGAGGCGGGGCTCAAAGCGCACACATGGTTTCCGCCCACGGGACGTCATCTCCCAGCGCTGCCTGTCATCGGCTCGAATTTGGTGAAGTATTCAGCTGCCCTGGCTCTCGAGATCTTTCGTTTTTTCGTCGTAAAGGTCAGCGAATCCAGCTGGGTTTCGTTTCGATCAAGTTTCGATGTTAATCGAGTTTAAGTATGAGGCCCCAGGCAGGCCCTGAGGTTGGAAGCAGACTGCTTTTGTGATTGGGCTTTCCCATAGTCTCGGGCCGATATGCCTGCTTTCCTAAAAGCAGCAGTTATCCTGACTTCAGTTAATGTCATGACACGAATGAGCGCTTCGGTCGTGTGCGTGATATTCCAAATTGTTTTGACTGAAAAACCTTTCGGTGATAGGCTGATTCCTGATGGCGCTACTGGGATTGAACTTCATTACCATTTCACTTGTAATGGTATCGCGTTACGCTGTGGGCGACAATTCTTCCAGCAGAAATTCAGTTGGTGACAAAAAATACACTTTTACCACCCTTGCTTTGAGGGATCAGGGGCACCATATGGGGTCATGTACGTTGATAACTATTTCCCCACGCTGCCGAGGATTTTGCGGCAGCCTAAAATGGCGGTCTCTGCTGTACTAAAACGTGTTCAACGAGGCATCATATGCACCAAACAAGTATGAGGCATGCATTATTCAGTTCTCATCAGGGGCAAACCCCACAGGTTTTCCACTCACCGATCTCCTCGGAATCCCACGAATGTAGAGTTGTCTTTCCGGAAGAAGACACCGAAGCCCGGAGATCTTCCACCCTCTCTTGAGGAACCTGGGCCGTTTTGACCGGTCACAGAAGGGACCCGTGGAGCCCCGCCGAAGGAGGAAAAGTCAAAGCGATTGCGACGACCTTTCCGCCTTCCTGTATCCTTGGTACCCGACTCGTTTCTGCCGGCCGAGTTTCTGTTCCTGTCGCGTGTGCCTTTGTCACCATCACTCGCTCGATTCCCACCCTTGTCCTCTGCCCTTCGGTCGCGGTTATTGTCTCTGTTTCCGGCAAAGAACCTTCTGCGATTTCGGTTTCTGCCACCGTTGCCATTTCCGAAAAACGGTACCCACCCACCTTCAGTACTGCTTCGCCGGCCTTTGTTTCTATCTCTGAAGAAGGGGTATCGGTCACCACCGCTACTACCGAAGAAGGGAAACTGATTTCTCCTCCGGCGCCGTCCGTGATTACCGCCGCCAAACGACGGAAACATTCTTCGCTTATTTCTGCTGTCAAATGAGGGAAAATTTCGCCCACCGCTTCGCAAAAACGGAAAAACACCGCCGAACGAAGGAGATCGTGAGCCACCATTTCCTTCTCTTCGCCTTCTATTCCCAACCCCATAAAAGGGAAACCATCGTCGTCGTTCACCACCTTTGGTTCTCCACGCTCTTCGCCTGCCACCACCCCGTAGGAAAGGAAACGTTCCACGCCGAGTCCCGACCCCAAAGAAGGGGAAACGCCGACCGCCGCCACTACCCCCAACGGGAAAAACCCCAAATCTAGGCCCCAACGACGGAAACCGTCCACCTCCTCGTCCGCCGGATCCCTTTCGGCTACCACTTCTACGTCCTGACCGCCTGTTGTCTCTTCCTCCATTGGAACCCCTGCCTTCCGTTCGGGGCCGACTTGTCGCTCCACGCCGCCCACCTCCACGCCGCCCAGGGCGCTTGGATCCACTGTCTGGCTCTGGTCTCCTTCCACCAGCACGTCTGCCGGAGTCGCGACCCCCGCCAGGTCGGGCGCGGGGATAGTACCGACGACCCGGACTGACGGGAGCCTTCTCTCCTTTTGAAGAGGGTCGGCTGTCTCTCTGAACCCCGCTTCCTTCCCGACGATCTTTCTTGGAAGTGGTGGCACTTCCCCCGCGGCGACCTCCCTGGTCCCTGTTTCCCCCGCGGCGATCTCCCTGACCCCCGTTTCCTCCCCGGCTATCTCTCTGAACTCCGCGTCCTTCTCGGCGATCACCCTGACCCCCACTTCCTCTTCGGCGATCTCCCCGACCACCGCTTTCCCTTCGGCGTCCACCCCGACTACCACCACGTCCTTCGCGCCCTCTCCGAGCTCCGCTTCCGTCCCGCCTTCCACCGAACCAGTACGGGTAGCCTACGCTGCCGTCGTATCCATTTCCGCCGTAGAGCGGATACCCGCCGCCGCCACCGCCATAGTAGGGATAGCCTCCCCACAGCCGGGCGTCTGAAATGGAACGCGTCGAGGCTTCAGATCATAATTATGACTGTTGACGTCACAGGGCCGCCAATTGTTGGATGGCACATGTAGTTACAGCCAGAGCAATGTGTTGGCCTCCGACTCCCCCCCCCCGCAAAGGTCATTGGTTATTCAAAACATTCACATCACTATGCTACAAACCCCGAGTTGCCGAGCCCCGGGGCGACGTCGCATTTTGGCTTGTGATCGTTTTGAAAAAGCCGCATCGCGATCTAGGAATTTCCAAGAAACCGAAAGGCGGTGTAGATCTCTTTGCGAGTATGCTCGTCCCTCAAGCGATCACATCCCGAAGTGGGAGGCGGTGCTTTGCCAGGGAGCGACGTGGCCGTTTGTCCACTATCTGACGTAGAGCTTACTCCTGTCAGGTAATAATCCGCTACACAGCATAGCTGACGCATGCGCAGAGGGTGGGAGTGTTGGCGCTCACCGTTGTTCATTCTGTGAACCGCGCCGTAAATTATTGTGAAGGGTTGTAGGATTTATGATGGTTAAGCCGCGTTTGGGAGCACCGCGTATGAGACATGCAGTTAAGCGCTTTGAGTGACTGGGTGATATATAAGGATTAAGCTGAGTTTAGAAGTGCAAGACATGAGCCGAGCCATGAAATTATTAAAATGATTAAAATGGTTTCTCATAAACGAGTATGTATGCTGTACCTTCGTGCCCATTCTACTTTTTCACATTCCAAAATGCAATGCAGAGAAAACATTTCCAGGAAAGAACTAACCCAGACTTATCTCGACATCGAGTCCCATTCGCGCCAGAATTTAAAATTTGAGTTTAGAAAATGTAATTGGTGTCAACATGATCTTAATCATTGTTTGTAAAGATGAAACAGTCCACACGAAAGCCTTGTTTTCACTTTAGTCATACTCTTTATATACGCAAAATGAATACTAAGATAATATTGCACCCAACAATATCTTTATGGGAAGTTTCGCTTGTCGCATCGTGTCGTAATCGTAGAGAGTGATCCACCTGTATGCAGTGCCGTCAATACGATTCACCACATCGCATTGCAATCGTTTTTTAGATCTGTACCACATCCGAAAAAAGGTCTACATCATTCTGTAGCATTTTGTAAATGTTTAGGGCACGACGTGGCCGGCACAAGCGAAACAACGACCGCAAACCGAAGCATAACATCACATCGAGGTTGACAACGATGGTTTGAGTCATTACGTTTGAGGATTGGAGTCTGACATCTGCGGACATCTGGTGTGCATTCTGCCCGAAATATATTTAATTATTTACGTGCATTCCCATAGAATTCTGCCACACAAAATAGCTGGTGACGTGGTGACGCTTCGCGACGAGGATGAAAGTGGATGAGACGATATAATCATACCACCAGCACTGCAGGGAGCTGATCAAAGGGATGTGGATACCGCTGGGAAATGCTTTGCTAAGTACGATGGCGCTACGCCTGCATTATCAGCGTCGTATCACGCAAAACATCGGAAAGGACACTTGCCTGATACTGCAGCAGCATGTCCATTTTCGGAATCGCCACCTTCGCTGAAACAGAACAATGCTTGCCATTGAATACAGTTGGCCATGGTTGACTACTGCTTGAGGATAAGTATCAGGTACACAAATGTGATGTGGAACTAGACATGTGAAACGCGGAGGCAGATCGGTCTTATTTTATTCGAAGTTATAATTTGTTTGCTATGAAATATATATTAACTATTCAGTTATGATACGTCACTTATTTGTATTCTGCCTTGAATATGGAACATGGGATGAAGCATTGCAAGCGCGCGAAATACCTATCTCGGCTCTTGAATTATGTGCACTAATGTCCGTTGTTAATTTTTTAAACTTCAAGGCCTATCCATATTTTGAAAAAAATTATAAATGCAAGTGTTTGAGCCCGTTCAGCTCGATTACAGAGATACATGAACTAGGTGGGACGCCGATTGCATTAAGTAACGTAAGGCGCACATAAACACAGCTTGGGCACTAAACTGCCATTACTGCTTGCAACACTGCTTTATCTACACGGAGCTATCTATAGTAAGAAAGACGCTGAAGATGAGGCGAAAGCAATGTCTAGTTAAAATGATTTTCAATTTATCTTGTCGAGCCGAGTTCGATCCTTTTGATCAAACCGGCTGATCTGCAACGAGCCTTCACCATGCGCAAATTTAAATTGATATAATTTATCATGCAGATCATCGATAACTCAGATAAAGTTAAAAAGTTGCAGATCATGATCCTGACAATAAAAAATTGCAGGAACAAAGGCAGATCGAGTCGATACCAATTATCACGCAGACTTGGGGATCTGTGGAACCAACCTAGAAGCAGTGCAACGATAGCTTTCAAAAATGTAATCTGAACCTCTTCGAGATGGAATGTCTTTTCTGGATCAGCGCCCACGCTAAGCAGTGCTTATTGCTTGAGCTCTGACGTCGCCATAGAATCGTGAAATTGTGGGTCAATGACAGAACTTTGCGGCGGTAGCGTAATGTGTCAGAACGCCCGACTGCGTCCGTCCTACCCTCTGACGTCACCTGACCTTTAGCGCGGCCGCCGGCTCCGGCTGCTGGTCGTGTCACCCCCCTCCCCGCCACGGATGGGTGATCGGAAGGCAGCCACTAACCACAGTCACTAACAAGCTATCGGCACGGATAAGTTTAAAGCGAAACCGGATTTGGGTGCGCCTCACCTGGGACTGTTTTCACGACAGGCCTGAAACGCGCCTTGACGCGGGTTACTTTGCGATCTGAACGAGACTGTCCTTTCTTGCATAGAGTATGCGCTGAGATGGTCTTAATATGGTCCACAAAGAGAAATTCACGATCATAGTCTTGTTTAAACTCAAGCGTCCTTGTCTCTGAATTTGACTGTGAGCAGTCCATTGGGATTATGTTAAGTCTGGATGCTTATCGGAAGGAAATAGGAGGCCGGGTGATCAAGAGTGACAACACGAATGGCCAATAACCTGGCCACCAGTCGTTGCTGCCGTTCGGCGATCACTTAGATGGGATGTCCTTGCGGAGCCTGGATCAGGAAGGCCGGATATTTTCCTGGCAACGACAATTGTACACAATACCTGTAATACTGTGGAAGCCGCTGGTTTTCACCGCGGTAGGCACGCACTGCTCACATTGCGTCGGTTTTCCAATCGCGCTTCATCAATTTACGCGTTCGCCCACCTTAACTTTGTTGCACGGGCAAAGCTTGAGAAGGCGACGAGAGACCGGCGGATGCCGTGGTGATAATCGAACGTAGCAGGATCAACAACAGGGAGACTTACGCCTCGGGAGGTTGGTGCGATCGAGCACTCACTCTCCACGTGGACAAATAAAGAACGGGGGAGTATACAAGTGTGTCACGATATGCGAAACATGATCTAGCCAGGAGGCCCCTCACGGCTCTCCCCTGCCACTAGATCAAGCTTACGAGACATGGGCCTGGTGTCATCGTCCTTAAAACGGGCAGACCCCTTCTACCAAAGCCATGTGAGGACGTCGTTCTCAGCCACAGGCTGCGCTCAGAGGGTGCTGGACCGCTGGACCGTCCGGGGCGCGCGCCGTGGCGCTCTTCTTATGAGATGCATCCCTGGCGAGACCACGAGGGTGCGATGCATTTCATTTGAGGCGTATAAAGAACCACTCGGTGCACCAAACCACGAGAGAAAGGACACGCGGCGGCGCTGAGGGCGTTGTTCTAGATCCAGGGTGGAGGGATTCTCCTCTACCCTGACAGAGACTGCATCATGTTTGCTGACGGACCAACCGCGGCAGGAGCCGCAAGACAACGCTGCACCGACTAGACACCTATGCCTCGCTTTGGCGGTTCCCGAGATCAGTGCAGCACTGAAGACCAAACCAACGGCCACGCGTGAAGTGCTTAAGTCCGGTTCCCAATTCAGTCAAGCACCAGCTCTCAAAGCAGTGGGAGACTGCCGTGAACGAACTCGCCGCCTGGACGTCAGCTCATGTGTAGATGTCCGAGCTCACAGGGCACGGACCGGGGCGAGGAGTCCAAAAAGGAGGTCGTCACTGGTGTCCTGTCCACGCGCCGTGGCCAGCTGCCACTCTCAGTCTGCTTGCAATGGTTACGCACCAGTGGCGCAATCCTTGAGGGGACTACACGACGGTGCAGCGCATTTTGTGGAGCCTCCGCCGGTTACCGTGAGCAGAGCCGCTGGTTCCAACACGGGTGCAGTCCTAGTTCGAATTGCTATTGTTTCGGACCTCGTGGTCCCCGATTCCAGCCGGCCTGGAATATATTGCTGCTCTAAGTCGCAAAAGGCACTGAATTCGCAATGGTCCAGACCCCATGTCACCCCCGCTCCACTCCGCTGTAAGTGCTGGAACAACGGACAAATGGAATGGTAATTTGATGCTAATGCTGTTCAGAGCGAGGGCCGAGCATTACAATGTGGTTCGGGTGAATCAATATTACTTCAGGTCGCTTGTGACCGCGTCGCAGCCGTCCATAGGTCAAACCAAGGCTATATTTGAAAAGCACCGGGCAGTATTTTGAATAGACAGGCCCTGCCGGGTTAGCGCGTGACCGGACGTCTAGACCACGTGCATACATTTTGTCAATGTCGGGGACACCTTTGCTAGGGCTGTGCTAAGGCTGATCTAGGGTCATAACAGAAAGCAGCCAAAAGTAATGACGCAGTGCGGTGCGATGATCGTGATTGTGCTGTGTGTTGTTAGTGAGGTTATCAGAATACTGGGCCAGTGAAATTGTTAGGCAGCTCGTCGCAGGCTGGCTGTTAATGCTCGTAACAACCACTAGAAGAACATAAAGGATATCGTGCCATTGAGGAAAACTCAACTCGAATTTTACTTACCTCCAGACACTGTGGCCGCGTAAAAATCACTGAATCATGACCATTCGTCACCACAGACCAGACTGAGCACGAGTGTTTCATCGTGGCAGCTTGCATCGCCCCACACTTCTAGTGCCCGCCCTTTGTGGTGTCTTCGCTCATTGTGTCGTTCCCCTATGGTGTGTGCTCATCGCACTTGACCTGTGATATGCAAGCGCCCGTACGTTTTTTCTGTAACGTTTGTTACAGAAGAATCCGTTTGTTCACGCCGCACTACACACCAGCGCTCCGACCCGGAGCACAGTGTTGCATAGACCTTCCTCTCGTCACGCTGATTCAGAGCACATGCGGTTTCGGGTTTCGAACACCGCGGGCTCTCGAGTTATTGGAGGCTAAACGGCATATATATTTTATATACATATATATTATATATACATATATTATAATGATATATATATATATATATATATATATATATTGGAATATTTTGGCAGAATTCTTTCTTTGATACATATTTGATCAAAAATAACTGCTGACTCAGCATTGACGAGCTTTTTGATGCATCGTTCTAGTTTCCGGGCCTTTGACTTGGCATCATCGCTTATATTAAAGATGGTTCGCACAAAATTACTCATATATTCGTCGCTCAATTTTATTGATGACAAAATTTAGTTGTAAACGATAGGGGTCCTAGTGCTGCGTTGCTAAATACCAACAAACGGATATAGATCTGACCTCTCATCAACCACTTAGTAGGTATTAGGAATTGATCGCAAGGAATATTTTTTATTTATTGGCATGCTGTTACAAGCATTACCATTACCATATGCCGTATATATACACGGCCGTATTCCCCGAAAGTTTGATCAAGTTCTGATGGGAAAGCATATTCATTAACGAACTCTCTCCGGCCTTAAACAGACAGACAAATTCTTGCACGACTCTTAAACTACTAAATGGTGGGCGGTGAGCACTTCTGATGTGATTGTGGCAAAAGTGTTCCCATTGTGTCTTTGTAGTGTTCCGATATGATTGTTTCTTACATGTATGAAAATGAAAATAGGATTCTGTCTTACTTCAATTAGTTATGCTTCATTTATATTCTCCGTACCAAAAGATGTTTTCCAACAGTAGTGCACAATGTCTCATCCTTTAAACCTCAAAACTTATTTCTTGTGCCATTTAGTCTCCTCCGACGATGAGACAGGATCTCGAATCGTTAGAATGGAAGGATCGACGAATATATGAATAGTTTTGTGTGAACCATCTTTAATCTAAGCGATGATGCCAAGTCAAAGGCGCGGAAGCCAGAACGATGCATCAAAAAGCTCATCAATGCTATGTCGGCAGTTATTTTTAATCTGGCAACATTGTCGTCGGGTTTGATGGACGGATTCACAGCATATGCCATGATATCCAGATTCCAGGTGTCGTTTTGGAGAGGCAAGCGTAAGCCAACGCGAACGGATTGCTGCCCTCCAACCAACCAAGCAATCTTTTCAAAGTCAGGAATTGCGGTGAGAAAAATCCGGTGAGAAACCCGTTTGTTGGTATGTTTTGCGGGTGGGTTGAGCTATTTTTTACTCTTCTACTCTTCTCTTTACTCTTCTACTACTCTTTTCCATCGATGAAATTCATAATACCTACTAAGTGGTGATGAGAGGTTAGATCCATATCTTTTTGTTGGTATTTGGCAACGCAACACTAGGACACCTATTGT